GGGAGAGGGGCTGGGCCCGGAATCCCCGCGGAGCACAGCACCGGTCTCGGGGGTGTGGGCGCGAGCGGGGAGCGGCCCCCGACCCCGCGCAGGCCCTGCGGGGCAGCCTTGGCTCCCGCGTGGGCTCGGCCCGCCGGGCCGCTGCAGCCGTGGGGCGGCCTCCAGCGACCCCGGCCGCGGGCCCCGCCCACCACCAGTCCCGGTCGCCTCGGGGAGTTTGAGCTCGTGAGCTGCGGCCTGCCCGCTGGACAGGGGCTGACCCGCGTGGAGCTGCCCTGCAGCCCCGGGTCAGGGAAGCCTCGGGAGCGGTGCACGCACCCCAACAGGGGCCCTGTTTACACGGCAGCCTTCGTCCGTGACACCCCCCCCCCTTGTAGGGAAGCTTTGGGTGTACGTGCCGGCCAGATGAAAATTACGAACCACAAGCGGGGATTAGGGGGCCAGAGCGGGCCAGGGCTGTGGTCTCGCGTCCTGCCTCCTCGCCCTACACGGGGGAGAACTAAACGGCGAATTGCCTCGGGTGCCCCCACTCACCGCCCCGGGTCTGGGGCAGCTGAGGGCAGGTTTCCTTCCTGTTCCCGTTTTTCATGATTTTCAAGCAGGGAGTTGGTTTCTGAAAACGCTTGAGGCTGCTCTGAATGCTGCATTTCAGAATTAGATGTATTCCGCTGTTGATCTTCGTGGCAGGTTATCATTAGAGATAGGTCGCAACACTGAACAGAACTGGGAAGTTAAGACATGTCTCTCTGGCCTCTTCTCAGCTCGCTTTCTGAACACTTCCCCTCCACTCCCTGTTGGGGACAGCTAGAGAAGTTGCCTCTGTAACTTTCTTACCTAACTTCCAAATATCTTAAGACAGAATCACGTAGTTTTAACCACTAACTTGTGGTTTACCTAGTGTGCAGTTTGCAGCCCCCAGATTGTCCTGAGTTAAAATATTGGCCTCGTTCTCTCCCCGCTGTGTGCATTTGAGCAAGCTACAAGTAGCCCCTTTTGCCTCAGTTCCCTCAGCTGTAAAAGGGCTCTGTAACTAGCATGTGGGTTCATATACACATGCCTGGCTCGTGCGTTTGCTGCCATTATCAGAGACATGCCCACCAGTGCACCCTTCCAGGAACAGGTGCTAAATGAATACCAGTAACCACTGAACACCGAAATCAGCCTTTTCTCGTGGATTATCCAAATCTCCCCCGCGCTAGTGGTGACTCTGAGGAAACGGCAGGTAGCTCTTCACTGTAAGGCCCTGTGTGCTGGTCCGCTGGCTGCCTCTCTCCCTGGGGAACCGCAGTAAGTTTGGTAGCCCCGAGAGCACTGGGCTTGGCCTGAAGAACAACTTCCTAACTGCCCCCTCCCACCCCCACCCGAGGGTGCAGGCTGGGTGGCGCTCTGGTCACCAGGGAGCAGCATGCACGTGCCCTCCTGGGGACAGAGGTGGGGCACAGATGGTCTCCTTTGCTCCTCCCCCTCCTGTCCTTGGTAATCTGGGGCTTTCCCCCCTCGTGTCCTCTCTGGGACAAGGCAGAGCCTAAAGAAACAAAACGCCAAACGAAGTTTCCATTTCTCCTACCTCTGCCTTAGCTTCCCTGATTACTTTGAAACCTGACCCTGTTCCCCAGGGCCAAGACGGCTGATCTGGGCGTTGGGCGAGTGTGCTGTTTGCTTCCTCTCATCCGAACCCCAGTCGTGGGCCTGGGACGATGTCTGATCATTCTTGGCCTCATGTGTGGAAAGCTGGTGTGTGTGACCTGAACTGTGTGTGAATGCCCCTGGGAAGGTGGCTGTATGTGGCCTTTAGAGGGTGCCAAAGTTAAAGTGGCTGTTAGGGTGGGCCTGGTGTCCTTACAGAAGAGGGAAGGCGGGCGTTGACACGCAGTGGGAGAAGCCACTGTGGGGAGAACGGAGCCACTGCCAGACATCCGGTGCCCGGGGCTGGGTCGCGCCACCCCGTGCGCAGCGCCCCTGTGGTGTTACTTGAGCGTGACTTGCCCTACGCAAGTGCACTGGTTGGCCACAGGTCGTAGGTGGCTTTGTCAGCCTTGGTGTATAAGGGACTTGCCACCACCGCTGCCATGGAGCCTGTGTGCTCCCCGGCAGTAAAGGCACGTCAGAGACGCCCACGGCCCGGCGAGTGCTCGTCTGTCTGCCTGAAACCCGAGTGGATCTGCCAGGCCTCGAGCACCTGCAGCACAGCCATCTACAAGCCAAGGAGAGGACCCTCAGGGGAAACCCATCTTGTGGACATCTTGATCTCGGACTTCCGGCCTCCAGAACTATGAGCCTCTGGGACTGTCACGGCAGCCCTGATACCACTGAGAGCTGAGAGGGTGCCCTGTGCACCCCCACACTTAGGAGCTCTTCAGAGCCAAGAGCCTTGTAGAGGATGGTCAGGAGCGGCCCTCCAGGACAGGACAGCGAGAGAAGCCTTCTGCCCACCACCCAGCCCCCGGCCAGCTGCTCAGGGTCACTCACGCCCTAAGTGGAATTAGCCAGAGCCACACCTGCCCCTGAACTGTCAGACAGCTGATGACCCACAGGGGCTGGGTATTTAAATGGCACCCAGCACATGTGGGCCCTGCAACAAGAACATCCCACAAGTCCCCGCGAAGCCCGGCTCCGGGTGTCCATCAGGGGTGGACATCCAGCAGGGGTGTCCGTCCGATGTCCCCGCAGGGCTACTTCGTCGGTTTCCACTGTGAAACTGGTGGTGCCCTTTCCTGCTGGGGGAAAACCTCGCGAGCACAGCAGGACTGCCCATTGCGGAAGGGGTTAACGTGTGGTCACCGCCCCTCCTGCTGAGTGGGGCCGCAGGGACGTTCCCTCAGAATCCAGCAGCTGCGCTGCCTTCAGAACGTGACAAGGCTCTTCCAGGACTCCTCTGCTCTTTGCTACACCCTCCGCTCACTCCTTCCCACGGTTCTGTGCAGGGGGATGCCACAGTTGCAGATTTTGGAGACAGTGAAATTGGACATCGATCGTGGGAGCCACCTTCGTTCTCTCAGACTCTCACCTGCCAGGCCTCAGTCATAAACTAAAGTTCTGCTATTTTTAGTTCTGAGCATCTGACAGTCTTCGTGGTGACCTTCCTGAGATGAGCGATACCCGGAGAGCAGACGGTGTTTCGCAATCCGAGACTCCAAGGTACTGCCTGCAACGCTCTCTTTCCCCATAACCGAATTCTGTCTGGCTTCCCCTCCTGCCTGATGGTAGAAAACTGAATCTACTTAGTTCCAGGACAGCTCAGACCTGTCGGTGATTTTTCCAACATTTCAAGTTTAAGATTCAATCAGTTCAGCTTTGGGCTGTCCCCCTTCCCCTAGGCAGAGCCATGCAGAGGGGGCATGGCCTTGGGAGGGGCCCCTGGCCCCTGGCCCTTGCCCGGGCTGCCCTGATTGATGCTGAGATGAGGGGCCGGCCCTGCCGGCCTCTCCTGCTTGTCTCTCCCTCCACCCCGGGCCCCTCCAGGTCTCAGCACCACTGGCTCTGGGACGCTCCCAGCCTGGTCTTCTCCTTGGCTGGTGACCCTTCCTCAAGCTGGTGTCTTGCAGAAGAAAACCTGCAGGCAGGGGCCCGGGCTTCCTACAGGTTCCCAGGAGGAGATGGGGTTCCAGGCACCTCTCTGTGCTCACAGGCCCATCTGTAAACTGGATGTAACACCAGCTTCACGGGTTGTTCGGGGGAGGTAAGTGAAAAACGAGTAAAATCCGGGCGCACAGGGAGTGCACGTTCGGTGTCATTTCCTGACTTCCTCCAGCGAGCCTTCCCCCACCCCACACCGCCCCCTGTTTCACTAGAGGCTGGCCCTCCTCCCTGCGCCCGGTGGCACAGTGCCTTCCCGGACCCGTGCCCTGGAGTTTCGGGGGCAGGGGCGCTGCTCCTCCTGTGTGCCCCGGCGGGTCCCTGGGTTCTCCTCCGGGCCTGACTTCATCAGTGGCCTCTGTCCCTGGGGTGTCTGCTCCCCACAGCACCCCCACGACTGTTCCTCCCTTCCTGAGCCGCCGTCAGCACGCTGCCCTCTCTCTTCTTAAATGTCCCTGGTTGACCTTGCACCTGGCAGATCACCACCGTTCCCACCTGGTCTGACTCCTTGAAAGGGTCCTCACCTCTGTCACCCACTAAACTGCGCCCAACATGTCGCCAGCACCTTCCGAAAGCTGCCCTCGGGGGACTGTCTCCATCATTTCCCTGCTTGGATTCTCAGCGCTGCTTCTCTTGGGAAGGCTCTTCTGCTGGTTTCCAGGCCCTGTGTTTCCCTCAGCCCCGGTTCTTGTCCCCCGTCGTGTAGAGCCACTGTCCTCTGCGTTGACCGTGTGCCGATTAAGCACCAGAGTGATGTGTGGCGGAGAGACTGAGGCAGTCGTACTGGAAGCGTGTGTTCGGTGCACAAGCCGTGCGAAAGACAGGGTGGGCTCTGGGGGTGGGTGCAGCGCGACTGGGGAGGGCTTCCTAGAGGAGCCACAAACGGAAAAGGAGAGAAAGGTGGTCTCAGGCAGAGGAGACCCTCCCAGGGTGATGCCAAAAACACAGAAGTAGATTGACACACACAGAATTCTGAGAAGCTGGGGTTCCTCTGCCTCCGTGTCATCGACCAGGCGGTGCTGCCCCCAGGGGACATTTGGCGACATCTGGAGACACTTTGGGCTGTCACAGCTTCTCGCACCTGGTGGATGCCGGCAGGGAAACTGCCAAACATCCCCCAGTGCACAGGACCCCACGCTCTGGCACCAGAGCAAACGGTTGTCCAGTCCCAAATGACAATAACGCTGAGGGTGAGAAATCCTGTCCCATTTTAGCTATAGTCTGAGGAGTCAGGCTTCCAGGCCAAAAATCCACGTGTGATGTTTCAGACCTGGCCTCCCAAGGGTGGGGTGTGCCCTCCCC